ATGGGGAAAGGAAAGCCTGCTGCTGCTGCTGCCACTGCTGCCGCCACTGCTGCCTCCTGCCTGCCCTGCCATAGACTGTTTCTCCTCTGCTGTGCCACCCTGCCTTGGAGCCGGCTGACTATGGACTGAAACCTCTTCAAACTGTGAACTAAAATAAACCTCTACTCTTTTAACTTGTGGGTGTCAGGTATTTCATCCCAGCAACGAGAAAGTAATTAAGACAGGGAAGTAGGGGAGAAAGCTCAGGAGCAGCTGCAGTAGAGCAAATGGCAGGCCTAGCAGGCAGTAGAGAGGAGATAGCTGGCCAAGCTCCCTGTCTTAGGCAGCAGCAAGAGTAACGTGAGGTGGCGGCAAGTGACCGTCGCTTTGCTTGAGGTCTGAGTACAGGGAGAAGGCAAGGAGGACCAGAAGAGGCCAAGGGAGGTCAGACAGACGCCCCATTCTGCGGGCTCCCCTCCCCATGTCCTCCGGATGTGCAGTCTCCTCTGGGGTTCAGGCCCCCCTCCCCTCTCTTCCCCCATCAGGAGACTCGTTTGTCAAGGTGGGCTCATTAATTCATTTGTCCATTCATTAATTCGGACAATCCGTATAATTTTTTGGAACTTGTTCCAAAATGAAAATGTAAGGTCCCATTAAAAAAAAAAAGAATTTAAGAATTTTAGGAGAGCAACAGATCATCGAACCAAGAGTGACGTGCGTGCCGGTAACTGCCCAGGCCTCGGTGTCGCAGGGTGGGCGGGACAGGTGAGGGCCTCGCCCTTGGCTTTCCACAGAAGTGGGGGTGACAGCTGCCAAGCAGACCCTGCCAGTGGTAGCAGCGCTGCGTGCATTGGCACCTTTGCCGAGGAAGGAGGTGATTCCAGGTGTGACGAGCGCTGGGAGACAGGTGCTGGGTCTGCCATGATCAGGGCACCTTGAGGGGCAGCCGCACGGGGCAGCAAGAGAGCCTGCAGAGTGGAGGGCAGGACCCTGCAGGGCGGCCTGCGGTGGGTGGGTCCTTTACTTGCTCTGACTCCAGTTTCCTCATCTTAAAATGGTAATCATATGGTAAATTAAAACTGAGTACACGCCCGTAACCCCAGCACTCAGGGTAGGCCAAGGCAAGAGGACAGCAAGTTCAAGCCCAGCCTGAGAAACTTACCGAGACCCTGTCTCAGAAAAGAAAGCTCCCCGAGTATTTGCTACCTGACAGTCACTGCTCTAAATACCTTACCAGACTGGCTCCTTAGCCCACCCGATGGCCCGAGCACACTTACCCCCATTTTCAGAGGGTGAAACTGAGGCACAGAGAGGCTAGGCATTGCGAGCGTCACCAGCTAGGAGGTGGCAGAGCCAGGACTGGACCCCAGGCTGGGCGGCTGCAGAGCTGGGGTCTTCCGGCCTGGCTTTCCCTGGCCCCTTTGCCTTTCTTGTGCCGTGGGTGTGGGAGCCGGGCTTGCTGGCCGGTCAGTCACCCGGGGCCTTCGGGCACAGTAACAGGCACAGCCTGGACGCCCCGCTGCACCTCCTGGCACCATCACTCCTCCCACACCTAACGCCGCCTGCTCTGATCCTCCCTCCAGGTGTGGGGAGGGGATTTGGGCTTTGTGGAGCCCGGCAGAGGACGGGGGAGGGAGGGACTGCTGCTTGGGGTTTTTAAGTTATAATGATCCCAGTAATCCAGGCACCCATTGCGCATTAAAACTGCTTGAAAGTAAAAATATCATTTTGTAGTGCCTGTGTTAATAATGTAAACATGAAAAAGGAATCAAATACCTAGCCTCATTGTGGGTTTGCCTGATTTTTCTCCTTCCCTCTATTCGAGGAAGCCATTGGCTGCGGTACCCGGATATGTTACAAAAGCCTCCTGTCAGAGCAGTCATTCGGGGCCCAGAAGCGTCCTGGCGGCACAGACGGTGGCCTTGGTCTGGGGGTTTTCTAAGTGTTGGAAGCCGGCAGGGTGGGGCTCCGTGGGACCCAGAGGGTAGCAGCCCAGTCCGCCCAGAGGCCCTCGGCTCTGTCGCCTGCCCTGGGGACCCACTGCCCTCCTGCGTCTGCACTCTGGCTGCAGCAGCCTGGCGCTCGTGCCCCTTCTCCCCAGAGCGCCTTCCCACTGCACAGCAAGGCTGAGGCGCGTTGTGTCTCCCTAAAGGTCCGCTCCGCGGGGCGAATGAGTCCAGAGGCAAAGGACCCAGGCCTCGGCCCTGCCTGCCCCTTTCAGATACTTTCAGGCGGATGTGGGGCCCGGAGCCTCCTTGGGTGTGGACCGGCTCTCGGTCCCTCTGTCCCTTTGCAGGCAGCGGCAGCAGCAGAGGGGACAGCACGGAGCCACGGCGCTCAGCCTGCCCGTGGCTTGGCGGTGGCCCTCTGGCTCCCTCCCCTTGACTTCTTGGTGCCCAGCTTTCATTTCTGTTCTCTCCCTCAGCTGCTGCTTTATGCTGTTGGCCGCAGAGGATGCAGATTTAAATCAAGAGTTCGAGGTTTAGATCATTCTGAAGAGCTGCCGATGAGCAGGCTCGCCTGGCCATTTGTTTTACGAGGCTGCCGCCTGCCCTCCCCTGTGTGGTCTAAGAGCGGGCGCAGCGGGGAAGCGTGGTGGGGCTGCGGGCGCTGCCCA